TATAAAAATTAATATACAAAAAAAAAATTATAACCTCCTTCACAGGTTTTTTTTTGTTTTCTACGACCAACATCATCATTCTCGTTTACTCGATTTGAATTCGGTGGACTACCGAATTGTTCGTTCACCGGGCTTGTCATCCGATAACTACCTCCCACATCTTCATTCCCCTACATTTAAACGAAAAATAATTTAACAAATAATTATTTTACCTCGAAACCTTTGTTAAGAATTAATAGTAAATTTATAAAATGAAATATTTTACCCCAAACGCTGCGTCAAAAAATTCATTATTGTCATCCCGTTTTTCAAATCCCTCTTTACATTTTATTCCTCGGATTTCTTCCTTCAAGCTTTGAAGTCTTGCCATTATTTCTCGGGTTGTTTTCCTATTAATTCCCACCGTATGAGTTTCTCCGGTGGACTGGGTAGATCGGCTGTTTCCACAGGATGGATAAGATGAAGATGCTCCCTACATATATTTTTTAATATATCAATAATAGTTGAAAATTTTTAATATACTACATACTACTTTTAGTATTTTACTTACATCTTTTCTAAAGTTGTAGCGTACAGAAGAAGGGACTTCTGGCGATTCAGGATTCAGACTAGAAATATATGTCAAGTAATGTGGAGTAGATGACTCGACATCTGAGGCAATCATCTTTCTTTTCGGTTGATGTGCCTCGTCCTGGTCAACATCGAAAAGATCGCAAACTTTCTCCCATGTTAACCTCCTAAGGTGAAACCACCGCAACATACAAGGATATAAATTGTTTCGTCGTATCGCAGCATTCCCCCGAGCTAGTGGGAACATCTCCCATATCCATATCTTGTAATAAATATACATTAATATATAACAGTTAGCAATAACTAACAGGGATTATGAAAAAATAAAAACCAAAAAATTTAAAATTATATTTTTACCTTCAACGGAATAGCAAAACCGGATAGTGTATACACACAAGGTTTTGTGGGATGTTTGGACATATGATCCTCAAATTTCTTAAACATACCCGACAATCTAGGGTATGTTTTACTCCATAGGTAACTCCCCCACGAGAACCTATATTATATACAAAACTATTAGTTAAACATATAAAAAATAGTATTTTTTTATAATATTAAATTGATAAATACCTGTTCCATTCATCCAAGTTCTCCACCACCCACATAAATTCCTTCGTGACTTTGTCTTTGGGTTCTTTTCCCAAAAAACTTTGATTGAGGATATATAGCAAAATCGCACGGACAGCATCGTCAGCCGATATCTCATTGAACCGTCGGTTCAAGATAAGTAGCTCTAAATCTTCTACAAGTAACGTAGTGTCCGTGCGATACGGGAAGACTCTGGACCGAAATGTATTATCACCGTATCCGTGATTATACATGGTTGAAAATTCAATCCTTGAAGTAGGAAAACGGCCCATGTAAAGTCCCGAGACAATACAAAACTCTTCCGGACCAAATGATAAAGAACGTCTAGAAAACATGAAATGTAGACGCTCAGCTGCATCACTTTCAGGGGTAGGACGCAACATGTGAAGTAGTAGGCCATGAATAAGTAGCCCGTCTCCGGACTGAGCCGATAGATCCAAGAGGTAACCAAAGCTAGTCCTTGAAAATATCTCTCGAACCGACCCATTCAACTGACTCAAAACTTCATGCAACTTGTGACATGAAGCTTTCACAGATATATTGCATGTCATCTTTTTGTTAGGAAGCTACAAAATAAATAAAAAATAAAGTTAAATAAGGTTTTATAAATAAAAAAAACAGTGTTGGAGTATCACACAATAAAACAGTTAAGCATTTCATATAATCTATTTACTTTCTATAAAATACCAAAATAAAATAATTGTACACAAAATTTTGTCTTTTCTATACTACTTGTATACAAAAAATAGTATTGTACTTTAAAAATGGTGTGACAATAACATATTTTATAACAAACCCGAAACTACCAAAACACAATGTTATTTTAACAATACAGTATAATACAAAGTATCTACACATTATACACATAAAAACTTCTTCAAATAGATACTACATTGCTATTGTATGCTATAATTAAGACATAGAAAATAACATCATTTTTAACAACATGCAAAAAAGTGAATCATAAGATACATACAAAGGGATACAATCGTTACAAATACGTTTAAACAATTTTTTTTAATAAAATTGAAAATAAAAATATATATATAAAACCATACATTTTAGGAAACCTACAATTTTTTTTTCCAAAAAAAATCATAAAATACATACAAGGGGATACAAATGTTTATTGGCTATTAAATTTTTTTTTAATAATAAAAAAAAACCGTATTTTTGTGAAACCTACGGTGTACAAGTGTTTACTGCACAAACTGTGCAGTAAATACTTGTACACCGTAGGTTTCTAATAAATTATACCACAACAAAATGCATCCAATTCCTATTCTATTGATACCATTTTTTTTTTAAAAAAACGAAAGAAAAAACGTCCGTACGGTTTCATATGAAACCTACGGTGTACAAGTCGAAACTGCACAAACAGTGCATTCGGTACTTGTACACCGTAGGTTTCATATGAAACCTACGGTTTTATATTTTTTTTTTCAAAAAAAAATTTATCCCCATAAACAAAACCTACTCCTCATCACAAACACGATAAAAATTTTAAGAAAAGTAGACAAACCTGATTGTTCTTCGGGTGCTCCATTGAGAGAAAAACATAGCCTAACAATAAAAAAACAATAGAAAAATGACCTAATCTGAAAAAAAATTCATTATATACTTTGGGCTAATGGGCCACGAAAAAGTAGACGACCCCTTGAAACAGTAGCCCATTAGGGGAAAAGAGTAGTCAACGGGCGTTGACCGTAGTCAACGGGCGTTGACCGTAGTCAACCGAATGTTGACTACTCTTTTGTGGGCTATTTTTGGCTAAGTGAGTTTTTTTGGCTATTTTTTGATAAGTAATTAGGAAAAATGGCTAGTTTTGTATTTTCCCCATTTTATATTGGATAAAAAAACTTATTTTTCGTTTATCAATCTATTGATCCATCACATTCATTCATAAACAATCTCTCTTTCAAAAATATATTCATAAAAGTAGAAAGAGACAACTCACTACTCGTCCATTAATACTATACTAGTTGTGAGACCCGTATATTATACGGGTTGATTAAAACAAAATGCTAAATATGAATGATTAAATGGGAAGTTTATTTGAATTTGAAATATGAAATAAATGAAAATTGTGAGAAAAAAAATGTGCGAAAAATAAATAAATAAAATTATGTGTTTAGTTGTCACACCCGTGGCTAAACGGATTAATTATAACAAAATGTTAAATACAAAGGTTTAAATTATAAATTTATTTGAAATTTGAAATTAATAGTCATTATGGTAGGTTTTATTTATAGAAACTAAATTAATGATATATTAGAAATGAAAAATGAATTAAATGACAAGTGGAAAATAAATATATCTCAAAATTATAACAAGATGACATGTGGCCAATTGAATGAGAGAAGGACATGTGTCAAAATCATTCTCATTTATTAGGGTAGATACACAACACAAAAGTGAAGAAAAAAAATCATATAAAGAAAGTAAGTATCCAATGTCAGATGTTTTGTCCAGACTTCTCTATCCAATGTCAGATGTTTTGTCCAGACTTCTCTGTACATACAGATCAGAACATCCGGCTGCATGTGAAACATTGTGTAGGTCGACTAAATGATTTCAATCCGCATAACACACCACACAATTGTAATACCGAACCAATTAATATCCATGATAAATAAATACAACATTTGCTTTTGTTTTATTTTATATAGTCATTTGAATTTTATAATGTCGTCTGAATTTTAAAATGTCATCCGAATTTTATACAGTTATCAAAATAATAATAATAATAATAATAATAATATAAAAAAAGAATTAAAAAGAACATAAAACCAAAATAGGGAAAAAAAACGGAAAAAAAAACAAAAAATCACAAGAGGGATGGAATTGAAAAAAAATTATATTTATAGCATTAGCCATAGTTAAAAACTAAAAATGGTCCATGTCCATTGTTGCCTTTTAATTTTGAAAGAAAAAAAATAATGTATCAAATACTTTTTTATAAGAATTATTATTAAGATAAATATCTAGTTTTTAGATAAAATTAATTTATATCATCAGGTATACTGGTGTCTGGTTAAAAAGATCAAAATATTTATAAAATAGGAACAAAGTTATAATTTAATTGCTTAAACTCCTTTAAAGAAGTTTAAGTTGAGTAGATGAATATTTGGAAAATTTGATTATTATTCAAGAATATTTTCTCAACGTTTTGACTTCTGATTAATAAATCAAAATTTCATAACAACGAAAAAATTTTAAACATGTAAAAAGCTGAACGACCTTTGTAAAACATATGTGAAAATGGGTTATATTTAGTGACATGTTTCATGGATTTAAAGTTCAAATTTCATTAATGGTATGGTAGACATGTGACGTGTCACATAATTTGTAAATATACATAGACAAATGTGAGATAATAAGCTGGAATTATAATCTATAACAAAATTTTCTTATGTAAAAATGTTGCTTGATAATTAAAATCCTAAATCATACAAACTTATATCTTTACATTAATGTTCAAAGTGATCCCTCAAACGCTCTTTGACACAAACTTTCCTCATGTGGCCATGCTTCCTAGGTTGGATTCTAAGCTTCATCTACTTGTTTTAAACTTTCTTATTAAACTCAAATACATAATCTAAATTTCATTAACACTTCAAACCCAAACTCATTACATTAGGAAAAAAAAGACATATTTATTCATATCATTATATTGGTCCTCTCTTTTTCCAATTCAAACAGTGTTGGATGTTGACCGATAGGTTATCAAACAGTCTTTCATGCATTGCAAATGCTCCAAGTAAAAAAGAAATACCCGTATACACCTTATCAGATTAAGTGATATCTCAACTGAATCCATTACATAAACAAAGATATAAAGATTACAAATTCTTGAGAGAATCACCGGCTCCTTGAAAAAACCAATAAGAAAGCAGAAAATCGGCTATAAAAATCCCAACAAGCGAAATAACAACAGCAGAAGTAGTGGATTCACCAACACCTTTAGCACCACCCAAAGTAGTAACCCCCCAAGCACAGCTGACAATTGATATAATCCCTCCAAAAACCTGACTCTTAATCATGGCACTAATTATATCCCATGACCTAAGTGCCCTTTGAGCCGAATCCAATATAATATTAATACTAATCCCATAAACCCCATCAGCCAAAATCGCACTAGAAGCCATCCCAACAGTGAAACAAATGAGGGTCAAAAAGGGTAAAGCCACACAAGAAGCAATCACTCGGGGGGTAACCAAATAGTCAACAGGGTCAGTGTCTAAAACCCTTAATGTATCAATCTGTTCAGAAACTTGCATTGTTCCTAATTCAGCAGCAAATGCGGACCCGATACGGCCCGCCACTATGATGGAGGTGATCACAGGGGATAACTCCCGGGTGAAGGCTAGGGCTAGGACCCCACCCACGGCCCGGTTGAGTCCTAACCGGGTGAACTCACGAACAAATTGGATTGTGAAGGCCATGCCTACAAATGCTGAGGTTAACAGACACACACCTACTGATTTTGGACCCACTCTTTCTAGCTGTTGGAGGGTGTTTATCCAGTGGATTTTGCCTTTCAGGATACGGATTATTACTTGACCCGCTAAGATGAAAACGGATAGTCCTCTCCATAGGTATCTTGGAGGTGACCATTTGCTGAATAATGGTTCCGGGTCGGATTCTTGGTTTGGGTTTGGGTTTTTGTTATCTTCTGACACACAGACAGATGACAGGTGGCCATCATCTGGGATAGCAAAAATCTTGGTTTTTGGGTCAAGAAACAATGTGGGTCGGATAAAAGATCCGAACTTCTGACCATTTTGAACTCCAATAATCAAATTAGGTCTTTCGGAAAGTTGGGTTTGAATTTGATTTGGGTTTCTAATTTTCATCCATGTTTTTGTGGAATGATACCTGCTAGGTAAGTAACAGGTTATGGAATGATGTGCAGCTGTTTGCATGATTCAGAGCTCACCTTACTCTCTAAATCCTGCATTAATGCCCAAACACAGATGTAAGATGTTGAAGTTTCTGCACATAATCTAGAAATGAGATATCAGTGACCAACGATTCTTAAAATATTCAGGATTGAAAGCCAGTTGTGTTTTCAGTTTTCAATTCTAGGGTTTGATTGGTCAGATAATTCCATAACCTTCTAACTTCGTATTTTCACACGATTACCATATAGATGCACTATTCAAAAAGATTGAAACACTCGATCCAGCAGATTGGGGTTTATGTATGTCTAATTACGATTGCTTGCTTACTCCACCACTGGAATCTTACTTGTGAACTTTTATTGTTCCCAAAATATAACGTAAAATGACATAATTTTCATAAATTCCATGATTCATGATAACATGATAACATGTTTCCTTACTCTGTGCAAGTTTTGAAAAGTAGATTCGAATCGCGTAACGAACGGATTACCAAATTAAGATTTCACGGAAGCAAACGCAATGCGTTCAAACTTTGAACTTTCCTTAATTCCATGAAAATATTCGAAAATAAGCATTCACTTGTATAATAGGAGTATATGATACACATGTAAAACGAAAAAAATCAAGCACGAGTAAACTCTTATCGGGGTTTAGCCGAGAGTGTGTGTGTAGGAACTAAGAACTGATTTGTGCAATTCGGAAGAGTTTATACCTGTATATCCCCAATTCGAACCGGTTGAGGGCAGCCGCGGCGGTGGCGACAGCGGAGCCGGAGCCGGAGCGAAGGTACTGAAGAGAAGGGCAGAGATGGAAGTTTAGATGGAAACCGTTAACGGCATGGAAGTACATCTACCAAAAAGAGGTTCATATCATTTTCAAGGAGAATATCGAATAAGGCTTCACCCTAAATTTTTTTATATTTTTATTGATTTTAGAGGTAACATATTTTAATAGGGATGATCAAAGGAACCAATCCAGTTGGAACCGGTTCGAATCGGACCCGGCCCGGGAACCGAAGTCGGCCGAAATTAAGAACCGAACCGGACTGCCGGTTCTACCGGTTCTTGTCGTGTCTTAAGTGTTGGAACCGATCATCGAGAAATAGCAACATACGGTTCTGGTTTTTGCCGGTTGTACTGGTTCCGGTTCCAAAAATCCACAAGAATATCGTCCTGGTCCCGGTCCGACCGGTTCCGGCCGGTTCCCCGGTCCAAATGCTCATCCCTATATTTTAATACTATGTATTTGCTTAGTGAGTCCCATAAGTTTTTTCTTGTGTTTTATGAGAGAACAAAGTTGTTTTTGTCGGATCTAATTGGTCATTCCGGAAGAAATGAAGGGGTCACCCGGTAACTTCTTTGCCACTACATTTAAAATGTTTACGGTAAATGATGTTAGAGTTTTTAATGAGATACCAACAACACTTCGTCATCTCCTCGTCTACTCCATCCATTTCCTTCCTCCATTTTTTTGCTTCAACCATGGGTATCTACATCGTTGTCGATGTGCACTTCCAATGAGTCTGTAACATTCCAGATTTCAGGTATTCTTCAAATCCTTCCTTGGTAATAAGTCAATTTTGGCCCTTGATATTGGTTTGGACCTAGCCCTAGGGGCATATTAGTAATTTTTAGGAAGTTGAGTAGTACGTTGGGTGAACATTTGAGAACGTCGTGCGTATTAGGGCACGCCCTAGTACACTGGGCGTACGTGTGTCCGGATAAGACCCTAATTTTTAGGGTTTGTGGGGTGTTTAAGCATCATTATGGGGCATTGTGGCGCACTCGTTCAGCCTCCAAACCTCCCTTAGCCGTCTTGAGAGAACCCTAGCGTCATAGTGAGTATTTTGAGCTTATAAAGTGTGACATCCCCAATTTCACGGTCAGAAAAGACCGATTTAATTTATGCTTTTAAAATAATTTCAGAGTAATCATTTGATTAAAAGTGTTGCGGAATTTGTTCCCAGAAAAAAACATGATAAATATGTTATCAAATCATTTCCGAAGAAATGTATTTTATTCACTTAAACCATTGGGATGTCATTGTCAATACAAAAACATAAGCATAAACAAAACTTACATTCATTTACACTAGTGATCTACTTCTCTTTTAATCTCTCAGTGTAAAGCAACTTCGTATCGATACCTATGATACAATTAAACTGAGTGGGTCAGGCTTGGGAGCCTGGTGAGCATATAGGGTTTTCAACCCACAATAAATAATAAACTTATTAAGTTCTCAATCAATAAATTTATTAATTTCATCAACCAAAATAACCCTAATTACCCATTCCCATTATCCTTACTTTACGTCCCTAAAACAACTATCACAAGGGACCTAGCCTAAGGATTATCACTAGGGGTGACAACATTGCTTTGGGGGTTCCTCAGCAAGTTATGTCAAATAAAACAAACATCGGGGTGACAACATTGCTTTTCCCTCAGCAAGTTATGTCAAACAAGACATCCTAACATAAAACAACCTATAAAGTGACGACATTGATTACCTCTGCAATTTATGTCAAATAAGACATGAAGTCACATCGTTGCCATGTGCTAAGCCCATAGCTCTTATTTATCGACAGTATTTCCCACGGGAGTCTCCCCCCCCCCCCCCCGCAATACATGTCAGTGGGTTTTCCATATGCTAAGTCCATAGCTCTTATTCATCGACAGTATTTCCCACGGGTGTTCCCCCCGCAATACATGTCAATGGGTTTTCCATATAGCTGATGAACATACTAAGGGGTTTCCCCAGCCATACATGCCCTAAATGCACTCATGAGGGGAATAGAGTACAGCGAAAGAACACTCTAGTCCATTAACACCTACATGTTACGAGCATGCTAGTGTTCCACAGACCATCTAAAACAGTCCATGGTTGTCATCCATACTCTGCTGAATGACGGGGGTCAACGTTTGGGTAAGGGCTTTTCTCATATTGCACCACTCACGAAGGGGAATAGAGTACAACGAATGAGCACTCTAGTCCATTAACACCTACAGGTTGCGAGCCTGCTAGTGTTCCACAGACCGTCTAGAACAGTCCATGGTTGTCATCCATACTCTGCTAAATGACGGGGGTCAACGTTTGGGTAAGGGCTTTTCTCATATTGCACCACTCACGCCAACGTTTGGGTAAAAGCTTTTCCCATATTTCACCACTCACTCTCAACTCATGATCTATATCACTGATCATCTCATCTATCCAACTCACCTTTCATCACACACCCACTATTTAACTCATGATCTATATCACTAACTCATGAAGCTAGTCCGATCACTTCATAAAAGAACAAAGACTCCAAAGCTCTTCCAAATAAAAGTATAGGGAAAATACTGATAAAGTACTCTCGTACGCTCCCGTACCCCGACACGTAATAGTGTCAAAAGGAAGAACTAATGGATGAACACATAGTTCAAAAACACCTAATGAACATATAGTTCAAGAACACTTTATGAACATATAGTTCAAACATACGTACCGATTACAAGTCTACTAACGTTCCACTGGACTATCTAAAATAGTCTGTGGCCGTTGTCTATACTCTGCTAGATGACTAGATCATCTTAAACATCGATACCTCTCATCACTTTTATTTCATCACACATCATCTAATTCATCTACCCATGTTTTACCCAACATATTTGTAGATAAAAATATATATACAGTTTAAAACTTATATAAAACATCTATTCAATAGTCACCTTAATTAAACAATCAATATAATTACACATAGCACGTATTTTAAAGAAAATACTTCATATATATGTGTAAGGTGAAAGTAACTACACACTCACTTGATTAATGAAAATCGGGCAGCAATTCGTTTCCTAAAAACGATCGTTTCTAATAAAACCGGGAGTTTTATTGAGAAATCGGGCTCTGCGAAGGGTCGGGCTTCAAAACCGAAAAGATAAATTTTCCGGGCTTCTCGGGCACTTCGTGGCGTATTCCGAGGGTTATAATTGATACCGGGGCTTCGAGGGAAGTTGAAATGAAAGAAATATTGAAAAAAGGGCTAAAATTGACACTTTTCCAAAATATACCCGGGAGGTCTCGCACCCTCCTATTTATAGGTGCGAGCCTCCTGATCCAACGGTTGAGAATAAGCCACGCGTCAGCAGATCCGAAGAGGAGCTCACGTGGGTTGCGCATGCGAGGCTTCGTTGGCAGCTCCTGATTGGACCGTGGTCTAGTCTGAAGTAGGGAGGGTTCGTGGCACCTGCGAGGCTCGGACAGCTGGTGCGACACGCGTCGGTGCGAGGTAAGGCAGCTTCGGATGGAGGAGTCACCTGGCACGCGTCGGACTCTCGGCTGCACACGCATCACTCCTCGGATGCTTCCACGACTTCGATGACTCAGCAGAATTTCGGACACGTGGCACATTCTAAGAGAAGGTGACGTGGCCGAAGTCCACGTATGCGAAAATCCTCGGTTTTGGGGATTTTTCTCGATTTTCGCGCCAAAACTTCTAAAATCCATAACTTTCGCATATGAGCTCCGTTTTTGACGTTCTTTATATGCACGCGTAGGTAAAATTACGCCCTACAACTTTCGTTTAGACTTCGTCGGCTAATTTTGATTTTAATTTTTATATTATTATTTTTAACAGACCGGGACAGGAAATCCGTTAAAAATTCATAACTTCTTCATCCGACGTCCGTTTTCGTCAGACTTTTTACCGTTGTGCTACTAATGACGAGACCTTCGATTCTCATTTAGGTCGTGTCAGCTAAAAATCACTCGATCTAAAATTCGAGTTTTTAGTTGTCTACTGCTAAGCTGAAACTTCGAAAAATCATAACTTCCTCATACGAAGTCAGATTTGGGCGTTCTTTTTATACTTACTCTCGGTTTAATGAGCACTACGAGTTTCGTTTAGATCACTAAGGCTAAAAAGTAGTTTATCAAAAACTCACTTTTACGACATTCGACACCGTGCCGGTTTATCGTGAAACTTCGACAGGTCATAACTTCTTCGTTATAACTCGGATTTCGGCATTCTTTATATATCCTAA